AGCTTTAAAACCAGCAATCTTTGCATTTGTTCATGCGCTTCATGTCACCCCATTCATATCCCCTTTAAGATGTTACAGTTTTCCCAGAGCCTTCTATTTGCCTCATGTTTCCCAGCTCTCCTTCCCACCAGCCATGAAGAAAAATGTAGAAAAGAGGCCCCTCCCTTTATTTTTCATGGTGGAGGATCCTCAGTCCTTGCTTATATTCATCTTTGTTCCCTCTGCTTCCCTCTTTTCGTTAGCTTCACATCCTGGTCAGGCTCACAGACTACTTTTATCCAGAACTCACTCTTTAGCCTGACTCAAATCAGATTTCTGTAGTTCTACGCTCCTAATGTTTCACTGTAAAAACCTTCATTCCAAGTTACCACAAAGAGCAATTCATTTCTGTCCCTCCACAGGCCTTCTAGAAACAGGCTAAGGCTCCAGGAGCTGTCTCTTGGGGTCACACATCCTCCTATCCCTGGCCACCAGGACTATTTAAGACTGTTTAAGGACATGCCAGCCTGTTAACAAGCCAAACTACTTCAGGCTGGATCAATTTCCAATACAAAAAGGTCACTACATCTAATGTCTGCAGATACCACCATTTCAATAAGAGCTATATTTCTCATGGTGCTGATAATTAACAGTTATCAACATAAATTCTGACGTACAGTTTTTCTTCTATTCCAGCACCGGAGCTCATTTCAGGGGCTGAATGCAATCTCGTTTTTGCTAACCTCTCTGCAGTGCCCCAAGAAACCAAAGGATTTCCGGAACACTAGAGATAGCAGCAACTCCAGCCCACACACATAGGACTTAACTTCCTGCCAGCCACAATGCAAACAAAACCAGTGCAAGATAACTTAATAACATACAGCAACTCAAGAAAAGTGGGATTAACAACATGGAAACAAGCATTGCTGTGCTTCAGCTGAAAATTAATTCTTCCAAGAAATAGATTTTAGTGCTGAATACAGAAGGATAGAATAAATTTGGAACAGATTTTAGTGCTGAATTCCAGAAGAATAAAATAAATTTGGAATAGGTCACACCAGTTGACATTTCCCTCAGTTGCCAAGTACTGAACTACTAAAGCAGGAGAAGTGACTACAGATTTCATTTTTCAGAGTTCACAATCAAACCCTACATTCATTATCAATAAAGGCACTGGCTCCTTGATAGCAGCAGCTGCTCTGACTTGTCCTAAATTCCTTCAAATACTCCAAGTTGCTTTTGCAAATCAAGTTCATCAAAGCAATACTGCCCCCATCTGCTGGCAGTATGAGCTATCAATGTTTAAAGTGACTTGGTGGATTTAACATTTCATAGTTTAATTAGTAGTATTCGCTACGTTTTTACCTTCCAGAAATTAAGCAGAATATTTACAAAGTATTCAGAGTGGTGTTATTGATCTTACCTGGGTCTCTGAGCTGGCAAGTCGTTAGGTCTGATTAAAGGTAAAGCTAGAAATCAGAGAAAGGAAAATCAGCTGTTAACTGTCTTTCTGGCTGAGGAATTAAAAACTATTTTCATTTCAAGTCTACCTGCTGTTTAGTTATACTCTAAGTTCACAGGAAGCAAATTCACAACTTCTTTGGAAAGACAGGTTTTGTAAAGTAAAGCAGCCCTTACCTGTACAGAAGGGACTTCTGAGGAGGAGTAACATGCCAAAGTAGCTCAGAGTTAAACATCAGAAGAGCAGAAGTGTAACTGATTACCCAAAGTACTGTATTTGGTAGAAAACCGTCATTACGAGCAGGTCACCAAGAAGTTCAGGATGAGGAGGGGGACACCAATCATCTTATATTGATTCCTGCTTTTGAGATCTTCTGTACTTCTAGTTGTGCACAAACGTCTGGGTGCGAAACAGCCCTGTTGGAGAGAATTTATATTTTAAATTAGCAAGGTGGACAAAAGGTGTTAGAAACAGATACAGAGAGAACAGCTGACTTGCCCATGGTCATTCATAAAACATCAAAAGGCTTAAAAATTAAAGTAGTGCTTTTTTCTCCTAGCTCGCAGGACTAGCTGTGAAGCAGAGGCTGCGAAATCCAAGAATCTGCATCATTTTTGTGTTTGAAAAGGCACTTGTCTTTGAAGTCTGAAAGAATTGTCTTTGGTCAACATCAAAAAAAGTCTCTCCCTGTAACATTGCCTCTGGCACAGAATAGCTCTGGGTCTCTCAGATTCTCAAAGCAAGCTAAAAAACAAGCCAAGGTGAGGAATAGATCCAGCCCTCTAGGCAGAACACAAGTGCTGTCACAACTGGTCAATTTTCACTTGTCTGAGGGAAGGAACCAGGAATCATCACCATAAAACACCCAAACCTTACAATATACAGGTTGTTGTTATTACTGATGCCACTTGAGCCCCAACAATATCCAATTTTCTGTGTATTAGCATAAGCCCTTCCAGAGAAACAGGCCATTTTGCACTCTGAATGGGCTAACATAACAAGATGCAGAAAAACAGGGATATCAAAGATACGTCCTCATTCGAATACCGAATTAATAAAATTCCATGATTACGCAAAATTATCCATTATTATTATGCTATAAGGTTTTCTTTGTTGAGACTCTGTTACACACTTTAGAAAGAGAGAAGCACTAAACGCTCAGGTCAGCCCTCAACCTGTTTAATTGAAGAGTTGTGTAGTACTTATCTCTGTCTTAGCAGGCTGTGTACACAACAGGGCAGCTTTTACATATACCCATCTGCTGAGATCAGAGGTTTCTGTGCCAAGCTATTTCTTGTAATTGTTTCGTGCAAGACGGATTACAACTAAAGTCACCTGAAGCACCGTGGCCAGATGGTCTTTTTGTAAGGCTAGACGTGTCAGCAAGCTGCGATAATGCAGTCCTGTGTCTGAGCTCGTCCTGTAAGAAGTGGGGCAAATTCTGTAGGCTTTTATGTTTGGCGTATGAAGAAACACGGGAAGTTCGGACAAATTAATTTCCTCAGTGGGGGTTTCCATCCAGACGTTATTATTTAACAGTCAAAGCCATTATTATTGCTGTCAACCAAATATGAAATGGCTCGTGGGTATAGCTCAAGTATTTTAGAAACAGAGCCTCTGATGGCAAAAACTAGTCCTTTACCTTCCTTTGAAGCTATATGCCCCCGAGCACAGCTCACAGTTCTTTAAACATGAGCAGTTTATATCTGCCCTTTGCTGGCAAACCTGCAGCGACTGTTAGATTTTTCTTCTCGGAGATACGCTATCCCAGAATTACATACTAAAAGCATTATTCTGTCCCCAGTTTGTAACTGCTGCTTCAGGAATGTGAGGGGGAAGCAACAAAGAGGCTGGGGTGCTCAAGACTCAGAACCCCACAAAAGAAACAGCAGACAAAAAAAAAGACACCTGCTGCCATAAGAGGTAACCCTCCTCAGAAAACCCCTGCTGGGGCCCTGATGGGAAAAAGCTATCAAGTTTCCCACTGAGGCCGGATTTTGAATGACACTTGGCCAAGAAATCAAACCCTGGACACAGCGTTTATTGGCTCCCTCCCATACACATGATCAGCTCCACAGGAGGAGTTTGTTCCCAAGGCTACCGAGTCAGGCAGAGGGGCTGGGGTAAGGGGACAAATGGATCCCAACCACCCTGGGGGTCTTGGGAGGGCTCTGGGGGCTGGATGCAAAATCCACAGCAGGAAAAAAGCAGGAGCAAAGCCGAGATGATCATTGACCTCCCCTCCTTTCCCAGCCCCAAAGCAAGGAGCAAAACCTCAGCGCACCGTCCAAAACACAGGAGCAACCAACCTCAGCAGTGTCTGTCAGAGGTAGGTGCAGATGGCCTCCTGCAGGAGTTTTCATTCTTCGTTAATGTCTAAGGCTGTTTGAGCATTGGCATCTGGCTTCAGGACATTGTATAGCTCATTTACCTATAAACCCCTTTGCTTCTTTCCTCTGTGCATAGAGGAAAAATAGATCTTTTTAGCACTGACTCTTTTTCCAGGTGGCACAATAGAAAGCACTTCTTTCTTTGAGCCATTTTCCATCCTCTGCTGATGTTTTTTGCTGGTGATGGACTGACACCTCTGTAGCGTGGTGTGGCCAAGAGAGTGGGGACCAAAGGTGAATTTTCAGCTGGTTAATTCCTGCTTTTCTTTACTCAGTCCACGTAAAACCACTTTTCCTCCTTTGTCTTTAGGTTTGTCTTCTAGCACTAGGCGAATGGTTTTCTTCCCTCACAAATTAAAATGCAATGTCCTCTGTTAACAAAGAAAAGGATATCTGGTTTACTTTCCCATCACATATTGAAATATATATGTATGCCTCCTGAATTTGCTTTGACTTCAGTTCTCCAGCTCTCTGACGATACTAATTTGGGCCCAGTTCATACACCTGTTCCTGTAAGCTTCTAACATGGTGTATCTAGTATAAAGTTGTTACCTGGTGGGGGTTTTTTAATAACTTGAAAAAAGAAAAAGCCTATTGACACCCTCATTTTCCCTCCAGAAATCAAGATCCCAATATAGGACAGTCAGTCACATTTTTTAAAATTTTTTTTTCAGAAGTAATTGGCTCAGCACCCACTTTCTCACCATGAATTACAAATATCAATCAGGCAATCCCCTTTAGGAACTCAAAAACATTTAATTCCTGAAGAGATTGGTGTATAAAGATGATTTTTTTTTTTCATTTATTTGTACGCTTTATTTTTGGAAAGATACTTTCAGCTTTTCCTGAAGTGGAAGGAAACCCCCTCCCCTCAACTTCTAGCTCCCTATCACCCTCCCAAACGTGCTGCCTTCGCGGCCAAATCCCACAAGGAAAATAATTTAGATCCTCTCCTACCCCCTTACCAAAGAATTTTTATTTCTAACCTCACCCACGCCAGCATTAACCCCCAATCTAGCGACCCCCAGGGCGCCTTACCTTCGGTTCCCCTGAGGGGGGCCCCGCTGAGCCGCCATGGTGAGCCTGAGGGGCTGAGCCTAAGAGCGGGAAAGGAGCGGGAGCAACACCTGAGTCCCGCAGCCGCTATTTTATCCAAACACCACGTCGAAATGGCTCCGGAATTTATAGAGGCGATGGACTTTTGGGGTAGTGTGACCGGGGGCCTCCTGGTTTTCTGCCGCGGGAAAGCAGGTGGTTGCAGGCCGTGGCCATTTTGTCAGTTTTGTCAGAGTCTGGCCTGCTTTCCCCTCAGGGAAAAGGTGGGAAAAGAAGGAAGGGAGAGCAAAAATTGGCCTCATTGTGCTTTAGGAACATCTGCCCTGGGTTAGTGTTGTGGCTGGAAGTTTTAGAGGTTGGTGTGTGAGGGTTGGAGGTTGTGTTTTCATAGTAAAGAGGTGTTTCTGGGGCTCGGGGTTGGGGTTTGGGATCAAGAACTTTGCTGTTTTTTCTCATACATGCATTTGAAAAGTACTTGAGGTGGTTTATTTCAGTCAGATATATAGAGGGTGTAAAATTATGTATGATCTAGAAACTACTACTGTAGTTAACTCCTCACATTGTGTAGTCACCTGTGTTCCAGAGAACCAGTCACCCAACCACATGCAAATAAAGCAAATAAACCCCTATCAGATACTGTTCAGGTGCAAGCTAAATGAGTAATAGTTTTTCCTTGATTTTTCCTTTATTTTTTATCTTTTTTTTTTCCTTGAAGAAAAGGTTTACAGACTTGTTCCCCAAGGTTTTATTACAGCAGTCCTGCTCCCAAAACTCAAAAGATGTACAAACCTAGATGTGCTCCTCTTGGGTTCCCCCACACCTTTTCTTTTCTTTTGGGTCTGCTTCCATAAAGCACTTTGGTGGGGAGAAAGCCCATTTCGTTTTAATCAAGCAGGTGGAGATGGACAATATTTGGAGATGAAATCAAGGTGGATGTTTGTAGAAAGCCCATCTTCACTGTTTCATGTGGAAAAAAACCCCAACTGTTTGGAAACATCGTAGGAAGGCAGCAGTGTATGAGATTTGCCACTTGAATGCTGCAAAACTTAACAGGTGATGTGAACAAATACTTTAAAAAACTGTCATCTGTGTTTATCCTGGCAAAACAAAGCATAAGACTTCTGAAAGAGGAGAAACTATCTTCCTAAATATTTTTTAATTCCTCCTGCAGTAATAAAATTAGGTCGGCGAAATTATTTATTTTTTTTTACACAAGATTCGTTCTTAATACATTAGTAAGTAAAGACATATCTTTTTCTTCACAGGTGCTGTTGCCATGAGCAAGAACGTCCAGGAATTAGGGTAACACACAGGCTTTGTTTGTTATTAGACAAATGTTACTTGTAGCTACAGTAAACAGCATATTCACTCAAAATGAAAGCCAATAAATTCCTAAGGTGTAGTATGTTGTACTACTATGACAGTAAAGATGTGAACACAACAATTAAGGATGAATTACATTGATAGTTGTAATTTGTGTACGAAGATAATAGCTTGATTTCTATCCATGGTGGAGTGCGTTCTTCCTGCTGGCAATGGAATTTCTGCAGAAATAGCAGGCTATAGTACTGCCCTTCAGTAACGAATTTTCAGGGATTCAGAATAATTCAGCATTGGAAAAGTGAAATACAGCAGTGATTTTACTGGTTTAGGCATTTAGGGTTTTTTCCCTAGGTTGAGGTGCTTGGATTTAATGATTTTTCATGCCATTGTGTATCTAATATTTGGGAGTTTCTCCTGAAGAAGGGCCATTAATGAGTTGGAAAATTAATGGTCAACTGAAAGGGATTGGAATGTGGTTTGGTTTTTTCTTTCTAAAGCCTTCATTTACTGATTCAGTTGGATCAAACTGAAATGTCGTCTCACGACTGGGCTCATTGCAGCAGTATGTAGTGGCAGATGTATAGAGAAATGGTCAGGAAAAAACGATGTTTTTGCTTGGTATGCCTCAGTATCTCAGTGTTCAGGGAATTAGAATGTAAAGATGTGCTGAATGTGAATGTCTGTCCCAGGTGAGAAGTTTATGAGTCCTGGGGATTTGTCTCATCATTCTTTTTATGCATTTAGGTTATACTGCACAGTAACAGGGCATTGCTGATAAAAACTCTACCTCTGCCTGTAGCTGATGCCTTTTCTTCCCACTTTCAGGGCAACAGACTCCTCAAGATCCTTTTCTCCGTGTTTTATGGGTCCTCTAATTTTTTTTTATCGGTAAGGTTATAGAATGGAAGTGCAGGTTTATCAGGATGCATTAGTATGGATTCAGAGAGGCGGCATAACAAGCACAGTGCACAGACACAGCGACTTGTTCCATTGTGAAATAAGTGCTGCGTGGACAAAAATCAGCCGTGCGTGTTGTAATTGGGTCACACATGAATGTCACGGTCCTGCTATGTACACAGAGCAGCACTGATGCTAAATGACAGGGAGCTGCTTTCCTTGCTGGTCTCATTCCTCCCTCAACTGTAGACTTGCCAGTTGGGATATTCTTCCGTAATTTCAGATTCCTCTTTGTCCCTCGACTAGTCTTGTCTTCATGTTTCCTTTTTGCGTTCTTCTATTTACAGCTTAGAGGTGAACTGCCAAAATGACTCTCACTTAGGCTGGATTTCTTTCTCTTTTGGTCACAAAAATTAGTTTTACTTCCTCCTCGTTATCTGTCTACTTTGCACACACGTGTTCCACCACCCCCCTCAGGAATGTAACAAAAGATCTGTGTTCTGATCAATTCCAATAAATTAAGATAGTGTGAATTAGTACAGGTTTCCTTTTTTCCGTGCTCAAAGTTTTATATAACCAAATACTTTTTTGACTGTACAGGTTTTCCGAGATGTTTCTTATGCCTGCAAATACAGTATTTGGCAGATTTCTGTGGGTTCCAGGGACCAGACAATAAGAGTTTTGTGTTGGTAAGGTAACATTTTACTGGCCAGCTAGGAGGAAAAATGTGTAAATAGAAGAAATCCATTTTCAGAAGGTTAATTCACTTAGTTCTCTCTGTTTGACAGAAGTATTATTTTACTTGCTTGGACTTTTATACCTTATGCCTGCTAGTGGCAAAGCACGACAGTTGAGTTGGCTACAGTGGAGATGCTGCAGTTGAAGATGTGTCACTGTGTAGCCAAATATAAGCACGAAGTAGGAAAATAAAAGTATTACCAAATAAATCTTTGGTTTCACTTCTCTTTTCACTTTCTGGTTTCACGTTGCATTTGTGACCCAGTGCAGTTGGATACTCTTCAGCAAATGTTTCTGTGTGCTGTTCTGCAGGGAGGCACTGGAAGGACAAACAAAAGAGGATTTGAAACTCTGTGAAGAAACCACCAAATTCCCAGGGGAGTCAGTGATACGTTCTTCGAGTTATGAGGAGTCCTTACCAAGTGGCAGTATGCCTAGCGTGGGCAAGTATTAAACAGATTGCAGAGGATGATTTGGGAGTAATTTGCTATAAATGTTGCAGACTGCTGTGTGGTTTGGAAGGGTTCTCTTAAGTTCATGTTTCAAGTTAAATTCTCTTTTGGTCTTACATCTTGGACAGCCCTTGTTGACACAAGCCCAGTGTAAAAGCAGAGTAATTTGGTAGTATTCTCCTCTGAGCACTGTGGCATTCCCCAGCAGGTGTGCAGCCCTAGAACTGGCTGGGTTTGTTGTCCTTAGAAAACAGGATTCCTGGGTTGGACTGTCGATAGATATGCACTGAGACGTGCTAATGCCCAGTTTGTACAGCTGGTGGTTTATTCTTGTGTAACGACTCTTGTTTCAACACTTGAATTTATCTGCCTTTCAGGTGCTGCTAGCCCATTTCTCAGCAACCAGAATGTTTTATCTTCTTCCGTTCTCGGCGCAGTGATTGAAAACTCAGCCCCTTCTAGTACTGGTGGCAGTCCACCCGATACTGTCTTCTGTTCCAAATACAAAGTACATACTGATTCTGAGAAAAAAAATGAAGAACACCTGGAAAACATTCTGGAAGAATACTCCCAGAAAGGTAGAGATGTGCAGAAGAGACTGAATGAAGTGAGTTGTTATTTTGGAGCAGCTTGTTAATTGTAGATGAACTTTAGGGGTTTTTTGTCATTGCCGAGTCTTTGGACCAAACCAAACCTCTTAATTCCCATACCCACGCTGCCTCATTTTTTTAGGTTATGTGTTTAGTATTTTGGTTGGTTTAGCTTGTTCTTTGAGTTTTGGGTTGTTTGGGGTTTTTTTCTCTTTTAGACCGCTGAGTTACATGCGCAACAGAAAATCGATTTAAGACTGATCATTGCTGTTTTACAGGCCAAACTGATGGAAGTGCAACTGGAAAGAGATGTGCTTCGGGGTACTAGGTATGAAAGCCAAGACAGGTGTATTATGGAGACTGTAGATACAGGCTTTGAGAGGCACACCAGATCTCCCAACTGAGAAACTTGCTTTCAGTAACAGAGAGACTAAGGCACCTGAGTTTAGAAAATGGCTTATTAGTTGGTTGAAAAAAAACAGCAGTTGATCGACATAGGTGTTCTACTGTTAATCAGGATAAAAAACCATGTCCTGCATCCTGTTTTCTAAATTACTTCTTTGGTTTCCAAATTCAGACAAAAGGAATCCCAGAGCCAAGAGAATGTAAAAATACAGCTGAAAAACACTATTCAAGAGCTGGAAGCTGCCAATCAGCTGCAAGAGGAGATGCTGCGGGAGGCTGACAGCCAAACCGAGCACCTGAAAGAGATGCTCCACAGCCACGAGCAGGTACTTCTGGAACTACGGGGCATCCTGATGGACTGTGAGGACAGCACAGGCAAGAAATTCTGTGAGCATGAGCATATTAGTAGCCTACACATCCACAACCTGAGCACAGCGTTTGCCGACATCCTGCGAGATTTAGACTCAGAGGTGTTGTACCTCAAAGAAAAAGTTGTCCTGGTATGTGAAGAAAGTGCTGCTTTTCCTTCCAAGTCTCTGTTCCTATGTTTAGAAAATATTTGCGAAAAGTTAGTGATCTTCTGTCTAAACTGGTCTAAGGAAGTGGTTTTGGCATGGAGAGGTAGTTAAGGTGGCAGGTGCTGGTATGCCGGCCTTTCTCCCTGTCTCCTGCTTGAGATTTGGTTTATTGCTGGAATTTAACCTGTTGTGGACATTTTCACAGTTGAAAGTAGAAACAAAAGGAAGGAAATTACACTTTGAAAACTACTGTTAAGACTGTCTTTTCTTTAGGGTTTAGCATTGTCGTGTGTTTACAGTAGGTGGAAGAAGTGCTTGAGTCATTGAAAAAAGATTCAGAGACCCAGAAACAACTTCTGCTTCAACAACATCAAAACAGGTACCTGTTCTCCGTTTATTTATTCATAAAACATAACTAGATGTTTTTCAAATATTTTACAGATATTTTGTTCCGATTATGGTGATATGGGGGGGAAATGGCCAGGTAATCCCTTCAGTGGTTACATCAGCTTTTCCCTACGAATTTCTCCAAGAGCTTTGTTCTTCCTTGTTCACGAAGTTGTAATTTCCCCAGCTATCCACCTGAATTATACCAAAACCTGTTGAAAATAAAAGAGCTAATAACTTGATGCTTAATATTTCATACACAATAGAACATCAAAGTTATTACACTTCTGACTACTGAAAAATAACCAGTAGCTCTTCAGTGGAGAAGTTACTAATTGCCAAGACTGAAATGAGAACCAGTGTTTTCTTTCTAAAGCAGGATTGGGCAGCTGACAAGGGAGCATAAACAGGAGGTGGCAGCACTAACTGATAAAGCTAACCGTGCTGGCAGCCATGCAAATAGTATCCAAAGCCAGATGGAGATCCTTCTCTATGTTTTTTGAAAATAGGATCGAAAATATCAAGGGTAACTTTGAGTGACAGCTTATGCTGCTCGTATACTCTACTCTCCGCTGTATGCTTTCAGTTTCTCTGTGTTTTTGTTAAAATAGTTAAGCAGTCATTGGATAATTAAGGGAATGAGGAAAAAATTTTAAAAAAAATCCAACACAAAACATGAGGCCATGGCATACAGAGGAGAGGCCAAGTAGCCCTACACGGAGAATTAAGAGATTTGGGCTGGTTTGCTCCCCAGACTGTTGTGGTTTAGGAGCAGAGTAAAGCAAGTGAAGTTAATGGAAGCTCTAACTGGCTCAAGCCACCAGCTCTGTTCATGCCACCAGCTTCTGGAATGATGAATCTCTCTTACCTGAGCAGGGACCAGTTTCTGTGAAGTACATGGCTCGAGTTAAGGGATGAAAGAACACGTGAGCCAAGAGCTGTGGCTGAGTGCAGTTTTAAGTCACTGCGTTGCACCGTGGCCTTTGCACCCTAAATGTTGTATAAATTCGGATACGATATTAATTTCCAGTGGCTTTATCAGTTGAATCAAAGGAAAGAATGAGTAAACAACTGGGATGTTTGCATACGTGTACAAATAGTCATGAATGGGTATTTTAAAAAAAGGGTCATTTTTGCGTGGGATAAACAGCTATGCTGGTACTGCTGACTTTGGTAACAATTGTGTGAGAATAGAGAGACACTAATTCTCACCGGCCACTTGATGACTCAGAAATCAGCGCTCGCTGTATCATTTTTAACAAAATGAGGATGTACCGTGCAGCGTTGCAGCCTTAAGATGAGATTTAAATACCCGTGTGCATCACTGTCTGACCTGCATAGTTGAGACTGAATAGCCGATAGCAAAAGGCGTCTCGGTTCTGCGTGTGGAATAGGTGGCGTGCATTTGAAAGCAGACTTAGTTTTCTTAGGAGTAAATTGCATCAGGGTTACAGTTCATGTCATTTTACGTGGGACAGAAAATCTAAGAAAGTGTAATTTTAATGCAGTCCCACTGTGAATAATAATTGTGACTCGAGGCGGTAAGTTTCAGTGGTCATACTGATTGCAGTGGAAACAACCACAAATGTTTCATGCTTTCATGCTTCTTACAGTTGCTAACTTGTCCACCTACAACTTTTCCTAGAGAGCACACAAGAAACCAGATTTCGGTGCATGATCGTCAAGTTAGTCACCTGGAAGCTACGGTTTCTCAGCTGCGTTCTGAATTACAAGAAGCTAAGAGGGTGTATGAAGATAAGGTGTGTACAGATTCGTGTGATAGCGTTTATTCCAGTGAAACTAGATATATAGATATGAGAAATGTTCTTCATAAGGAAGGTCTTTGAATAAGGAACTGATTCAGGAAAAACTATGTGGACAATAAGCTAAATTACATGATCCTTAACTCTGTATTATTTTTAAGCAGAAATTATCTTTCTCTAAGACAAAATAGCTTTGCAAAATTTATTGAACAGAGAATAGTTTTGCTGAATGTGTTGAGAGCATACCATAAACAATGCCTTTCGAAAATAAGTGAAATACTTCACAAATGTCACTTGTGCATGCAGAACGAGAACATTGCTCCACTATACCACTAGAGAGGGTATCAGTAAACAACAGGCAGTAACAATAGCTTCTTACATAAGTTGCACGGCCCAGAAAAATTCATTGATAACTTTGCTGTGCTGAGTGTGAGGGTGAGAGAACACAGAGGTTACAGCAGGGCTGCAGAAGCTTTCAGGTGCCCAGAAATGCTGCATTGTGAGTTAAGAATCTTTTACTGTTCATTGAAATCTACAGACCTCTTACGAGCAGCGTGTAGTACACTCGGGAAAGAGGCACCTGTGTTTGCCAACCAGTTCTTAGCATTTCCCAGCAGAAAACAGTTGTCTTGACCAATTTTTTTTCACCATGCTTCTCCTCAGAGACATAACTTCTTTTAGGGAAGTACAACAGGGGATTACTGCAGGCAAGTGGAGAGAACAATTTCCAGTCCCACCACAGAGTTTCTGCCATGTCCCTAACTGCAGCATTTTATATGTCATTTCCGTATCAGGTGCACTGCATCTTTCACTTATTTCACTGCTTTGGATTCTGGTTTTATAAACAATTTGAGTATCTTCCAATTCTTCCTTATTTTTTGTGAAAGATAATTGAAGTTTTCCTTAGGAAATGATGTGAAAACAGTAGCTCTTCACTCCCTGAAAAAATCTAGTCGAGCTGGCCTATACAAAAATGCTTGATGGATCCAAATCCAGCTTAGATTACAAGTCACAAGGATTTAGGCATCCTTGTCCTACATACTGGTGGGAAGGGAAAGTTCAGGTCACAGGATTGCCGTGAAGTTTGGCAGAGCTGATAGTCTTTCGATCCAAAAGGGTCTGAGAATGGAATGGCAGGGATGTGTGGGTCAAGCCTGGGTGGAGCCGTGGCCTATGTGTAGTTGTACTGTAAAACAGAGCAGGAGGGACACTGTCCTGTAACATTTCTGTAGGTTTCTGCTTTTATCAGTTTCGTTGTTTCACATGTATCAAAACTCAAGCTAGTCAGTTCCAAAAGTGATTTTTTTTTTTTCACAGGGTCGTGAATGAATTGTGGAGAATTTGTAAATGAATCTCCATTACTGTATTTCATCTTCAAGGAGCAGTACAAGATACAGTATGCTTTTCACGTTAGGTCTAGTTCCCTGATTTCTTTTGATTTATATCGTACAGTACACAGCAGAAGGTCACACCACGTATGTAGCTCCAGCTGTAGTATATATTCCTTAGGCACGTTTCACGTTTACCTCATCTCATGTGAAATTGCAAACTGGGAATCAGTGTACGGCACTTTTTCTTTTTTACCGTCTACCAACTCCAGAAAATGGTCGGTTTGCTTATCTGTAAAAGAATATGCTACTTGGTCCAATAAATATTTGAGTAGGAAGTGTAATACACTGAGTTGCTAAGGTAGACTTTAGTGAGAGACAAGTTGATAGCTGGAGATCATTTGATATTAGGCAACTATGTGGAGTCATTCCTGGAGAGGTGTCAGAGAGAATCTAAATAAAGCTTTTACAACTGTATGTGTCTCTTGTCCAACAAGCATTTTTCTGCAGACTCTCTGGTGGGAAAACATCTGAGCAATTAAAATTTTCAAGGCTGTAGGTGAAAACTAAAGCCAGTCTAGGTTGATGATAGCAGAGAGTTTCAGCACTCCAAAAATCCGGTACTTAGTGGATATGAATGTAGATACCCAAGTGTTCTGTTTGGATATGTCTATGTTAATATCTTTATTAAAAAGTGTAGTAGACTGCTACGCATCTCATGCCAAAAGTTGCACCCTTTCAGACAAAGTGACTACCACTTGGAGCAAAACATGTTTGCCTCTAAATTTCTTAATTTATTCACAGTGAAGGAACATACCTCCCTGCCTCAGCTACATAAAACCTGCAGTTAGGCCTAGGTGCATCTCAAGGGCTTCACTATATCATTAAACACAAAGTGAATATGCCTGTGAATATATGCTTGGGACCCAATTGTTCCTAAATTACTGTAATTGGACAGGAAAGGCCCTCTGTGAGGACAGCTCTCCCTGTAGCTGCTTGTGATTACGTTGTGCTGCTGCTGCTTCTGCACCGGAGCTCTAGGAAGATGAGGTTACTGATTTTGTCTAATTTTGAGGAAGAAAAGCTTTGAGGATCTTGAGAACTTTTCGTGACAACGGGGACTAGCCCTGTTTAGGTAGCCCATTGCTGATTGAAAAGAGTTACGTTGTTATTTTAATTGGATGCATGAGACAGCAGGTAGGGGGCAGACTAAGGAAGAGATGACTGCTTTTGTCACAAGCTGAAGAAGAATTTTGAAGGAAATAGAAAGGAAATACACAGATTTTAGTATTGACCAAAAAGAGAGATTGTAGATCCTGAAGTGCTTATTAGAAAAGGATTGTGGGAAATTTCATATATTTTCTCACTGAATCATTTAATATAAATTTGATTTTACTTATACTTGCATTATACTGGTTTTTCTGACTAGTAGTTCTGCAAATCAAACAAGGAGCTTGAACTTTTTTTCTGAAGTGGCTCTCTTCTTCCATGCAAGGCTTATGGTGTAGGTAAAAATTTTCCAAGAGCTGTGAATCAGGGTGGAAGCCAATTCTTCTTGGGAACCTCAGTTAACTCCGTAATGGAATTGAGTTTAATGACTAAAAGAAGACAAAACAATTCTGAATACACATAGGGAGTAACTCTTGTAAGCCAAAAGATGACATTTGAACTTCTTTCGAATAGAACCAGGAAGAAAACTAGAAGAAATCCAATGTACTATTTAAAATAGAATACATTAAGGTAATTTTTAATTAATATTTGTCTTTATTCTAGGTTGAAGATCTTGAGAAGCAGTTGCACTTGGCTCGTTCTGAGATAACAGAAGCTCAGACAGAACATGATGAACACAGCCAAGAATCTGGAAAACTGAATGACCAGATTCATCAGCTATTGGTAAAAACAAGTGATAGTACTGAAAAAATCTTGCTTTCTGAAAGCCTCTCCTTACTGCTGGTGTTCAGATTTGCACATTGCTTATTTCCAAAATGCAACAGCCCCCTTATAATTAAGTTTGAGGATTATCTTTTCCTAGAAATTTGAATTAGCTGTCAAGAAAGTTTCCTGAAGGCCTTTGCCATTACCAGTGCAGGACACTGAGAATTAAGATTAACTTTGTCATAAATACAAACTCCTTGAAGGTTGTCTCAGTCATATGAAAGGCACTGAGCCAACTTGGCTTTAGCCCCGCAGCTTGGATCCCTCTGTTAAAGCACCGTGGTCGCTTAACATGTGTTTTACAAGGCGTATCTGGGATTTTTCCAGCAGCACTAAACATTCCTCTGTAACATTGAGAATATTCACCAACTGAACATACAGTATAAAAAAAATGTCACCACTTAAGGTTGGTTTCAGCACAACTGGCTTCATGTACTGTAATTAAAATTGATTTTGTTCTTACACAAAATGTTTCCTTAGTGACTGGATTTTTGGTATATTAGTTTGTGTGGTTTCATTAGGTTTATTTGCCCAGGTAGTGTCACAGCGCTTCTGAAGGAAATGTTGGCATTAGTTCATTCCATTTGATCTTCTTCTATTAAGAATATATTAGTATAAATCTTCTCCTAGAGATTGCACATAGCTACAGTGGAGACGGCAGTCGGAATAATCATTTCATAATTGAAGGTTAGGAATCTAATTTTCAGATGCCTTCTGTTCCTGTGTCTTAAGCTCATGTTTTCATTCTGCCATTCTCTGACCTTCCCACTTAGTTCTTGACTTGAGCTTTAGCAATATGCAGATAGTTAACATAGCTAAAGTTAGGATTAGCAGAAATGCCTATTGATAATTCTGTTTGGATACATTTTAAATTCCTGGTTTTGAAATCAGCAGTTCTAAAACATGTATGTCAGTATTTTTAATATTATTTACAAATATACATTAATTACAATAACAATCAGCCCTTATAATTTAATTTGTGTACTGGTAGGATTGTGTCTGAGGTGGAAAAGATTTAAGCTCTGAAAAGTACTGACAACTTACTGCATGGAATGAAATAAGAACTGAACTGTTCTTATTAGTGGTTAAGTTGGGTCTTTATCAAGAGCGGCCTTCCTTGGTTGCTTTGTAACTTATACTGATTTCGGGATAGATATACACAACATTAAAGACTTGCGTATTGAGGTGTTACATGCTTCAAAATAATTACAACAGGAATATGTAAAGTTGAAAGCTAGTCTTTAGCTGGAAGAAAATGTGTAGGAGGTGTCAGACTACTTTAGCCAATGTTTCTGTCTTCTGCTACGAGTAAATCTGTGCGATAGTCCCTATTCAGATATGTAATTGTGTAGATGAATGTCGTGATTGTTAAGAGAAAAAACAAAAAACTCCTAAATGGGATTTGAGGAGGAAGATTATTTTAATTTCTTGCAGGCTCAGCTTCATAAAAAAGAGATAGAGCTAAGTCTAGAAAAAGAGCAGAACGAGCGATTTTGGGCTCGGAATACAGACGACAGCATCGCCATTGACCATCTGAGGAGAGAACTAGATGACAAAAACGTGCAGTTGCAGCGCATGGAGAACACGGTGAAGGAAATGAGAGCTGAATGTCGCAGGCAAATGGAGAGCCAGGTTGGTGAGCAACTGCAGCGCGACAGTGTTTGGGATAAAAAGTGCATGTAGTGAGGGCTGTGCTTCCCGTACAAATACTGTCATTCATGTTCCCTCCAGGTACATGGCAGAATTTTCAGAATTTATCCATCTGACCTCTCCAGCCTTTATTTCTCTTGGTAGATGAGGATGTAGAAGCTTTATTTTTAGTTCTGGTTTTTGACATACCGGCCTTAGAGGAAAAATAATAAAACACACTACCAGCAAAATATTGATTTATTTTGACTAAACTTCCAAAACAATATGTTGTACTTTTCCAGAAAGCTTGATCCTGCCAGACATAACAAACTACTCAAGGTAATATTTTTGTTAGTGAGCACTTCTGTAAGAATAAGCAGTAAATTGAAGACCTTCATAATGCCTTACTTGGTGTAGTGCTTAATGAAAACATAATGTGTTTATAACCCTAAGCTGAATGCAGTTCTGTGGCAGAAGATTACTTCTGACAAAGTAGATTCCTAGACACTGACTTGTAGTACACTTCCCTCTCTTCAAGACTGCAGGCCCTCAAAAATGAGCTGTAATTAGGTAACTCACTTTGCATTATGAGTAAAAATCAAGTTAATTCCTTTATTTCTTACTAAACCACAGCCTTGTGCTACCTCACACACCGTTCCACATTTTCTCATTGTTTTTTCTTTGAAATTCTCCAAGTTCCTGAGTCACTATTTTGAGCTTTGAATGGTGCACATTGTTGCCCGCAAAACTAAAGCCAGTTATAAATTCTTCGTGTACATACTTTTTTCTTTTCCAACTTCAAGGTCACTCCATTGAGTTTTAACACTTAGTGTAAAATTAGGAGCAGTTGAAGCTAACATTGCTGGTTTAATTTTATTTTTTTACATGAGTTTAGCATTTTTCATTTTCTCTGAAAATGAAACTCACGCAGTACTTGATTTATTAAAATGGAGAAAAAATTCTCCTGGTTGATCCTTACGTTGCTCTTATTCAGATGGCTGCAACTGAGGCAAAAAATGAAAGCGTTGGAAGAATCTCCTCTTTGACTGTCCAACTGGAGTCAACCAGGGAAGCACTCCCTAAAGTTCAAGAAGATTTTAGAGCCAAACAGATCGACTTGGAGTCTGCTGAGAAAACAGTGTCAAACCTCATGGCCTCGCTGGGGGAGAGGGAGAGAGCCCTGAATGTCCCCCGTAAGGAAATCAAAGAGCTCCATTCCCAACTTGGTGGTGGGATGCAGCTAAAGATTCAGCGGCTAAGGAAGGAAGAGGACTGTTTCCATTCAGCACGATCAGAGTGTGAAACGCTGAAACTGCAGGTGTTGGAGAAGGAAAAGGTTACTGAGATCATCCAAAAGCAAGTTGATAACATGACTCACATGGTGGACCAGCACAGTCGAGCTGCTGGAGCAATGGAAGTTGAGAAATATCAGCTTATAAAAGAAAGGAATGACTCGAAACTCAAAGTGCAAGAACTGGAGGTGTGTAAATAACGCTGTGTTTACATCTCTGTGAGACAGTCAGGGCTTTCTGTTTTCTAATATGTATTGATGTGCTAATACTGTGGTTTTAAAGCAGGTCAGACAATGCAGCTGGAATCCTTACAGCATTAAAACAGTGAGTGGGCAGAGAAAAATATTAGCACATTGTCACCAAAAATGAATAATAGGTTGCCAGAAGGCTTGTGAAAGCTGGAATATGAACATAGAATCATAGAACAATTCAGGTTGGAAAAGCCCCTTGGGATCATCGAGTCCAACCATTAACTCTACACTACAAGGTCACCCCTAAACCACATCACCCAACACCACATCTAAATGACACTTGAACACATCCAGGGATGGCGACTCAACCCCCTCCCTAGGCAGTCTGTTCAAGTGTCTGACCACTCTTTCTGTGAACTAATGTCCAGCCTAAACTTGCCCTGTTGCAACTTGCAACCATTCCCCCTGGTTCTGTCCCTAATTCCCTGTGAGAAGAGACCAGCACCAACCTCTCTACAATGTCCTTTCAAGTAATTGTAGAGCATGATGAGGTCCCCCCCCAGCCTCCTCTTCGTCAAACTGAACAGACCCAGCTCCCTCAATCGCTCCTCACAAGGTCTGTTCTCCAGGCCCTTCACCAGCTTTGTTCCCTCCTCTGCACTCGCTCCAACACCTTGAGATCTCTCCTATACTGAGGTGCCCAAAACTGAACACAGTACTCAAGGTGCGGCCTCACCAGTGCTGAGCACAGAGGGACACTCACCTCCCTTCTTCTGCTGGTCACAAAATTTCTAATACAAGCCAGGATGCCGTTGGCCTTCTTGGCACACTGCTGTCTCATCTTCAGTCGACTGTCAGTTAGAACACCCAGGTCCTTTTCCGCCGTACAGCCTTCCAGCCACCCTTCCCCAAGCCCGTAGCCTTGCATGGGGTTGCCATGACCAAAATGCAGGACCCTACACTTGTCTCTATTGAATTTCATGCAGTTGGCCTGGGCTCATCGATCCAGTCTGTCCAGGTCCCTCTGTAGAGCCTTTCTACCCTCCAGCACATCGACACTCCCTCCCAGCTTGGTGTCATCTGCAAACTTGCTGTGATAAAATTGTCCACGCCAGTAACAGAACCAGAAATACTGGGTGTTACTGAGAAATAACAGACAGGGAGCACTCAGAATTCCAAACTGAGGACACATTATTTCTCAGACAAGAATTACAGGATGTGGTAGTCTTATGCAGGTCGGCATCTTCAGAAAAAAATTCATTCCAAATAGAGAATTTAATCTTGTGAGAAGGGCAGTTGAGCATTAGGAGTGAATATGGAGGTTCTGCTGCAAGAGGATAGAAATAATTTTCATACTGTACACCTTGTGAGGTTAAACACGCTGTGAAGTATCCGATCAGGTTCTTTTGTGCCCGTTTTTTCTGCATTAGCCATTTTCACAAAAGTGATTTGTCTTTTCCACTGTTTTTCTTTCTTGCCCCAAACCATTCTCTGACAACCGACATTTAAAGTAATTATCACGTCTGCAAATCTTTGTGGTTATTTTATATCATTATATTTATTACACATATTTATTACTGTTTTTTAATGGAAGTAGATTGCAATGGATGAGAAAGAAGCCAGAATACAGGAAATGGAGACCAGGCTGAGTGAACTGGAACTGGAAAAGATTGAGCTGGTTAACACATGCACCGAGAGGCTCCATACACCTAACGAGATGAAACGGGAAAAAGAGCAGTTAATGAACGAACTCCAAGCCAGTCGGAGTGAGCTAGCTGGCCTTGCAGGTAGGGAGCTTCAACTTAACTCAGTTCCAACAGCCGCTAAATTGGGCTGGTGTTAAAAATAAAAAAGCAGCTTGCTTGCTGGATCCAAATATGGCTGCTGGTATGATGAAAGGTTCCCTGCCAGCACAGGATGGGCACATTGCTTCCGAGAGCGATGTCATCGTTTGGGATTCTGGCACAGAATGATGGGAATGCAATCTTTATGGCAGTCTCTCACTACCCTGAGCAAAAATACTTCAGCCATCTGACTCTGGAGATCAAAGCAGCACACCTGGTAAATCACAAATTAGAGACTTGATCACATTTTTCTGAGTGTTATTTAAGATCACTTGTGGATCCCAGTAAGCCTCTGTGGTCAAAATACAGTGGAGCTTTTTGTCTGTGTTGTTGTACTTTTACTACAGTGTTACTTAAAAGTTTATGATCTGCCTCCACTGTTTACACAATTAATATGTGGAAAGGCCAATCAAGATAACTTTTTTTTTCCAAAAAGAAAAAAAATTAAAGGCTTGGACCCAAGGTAACCACTGAAATTCAGGAAGATCCTCTTGTATCTGCAGTGCAGCCAGCCAGATGATACTGTTCACGTGCATTTCTCTCTCCACGCCCACTGGTAACATGCTTCACAACTCAGCTATACTGTCAAATTCAGTAAGTTTTGTAGGAATTATGCGGTGATTTTACATGCAAGTTCTGCCTGTAGGTTTGCATGGAAAGTCTTATCGGAGTGAGTGGCCACGGAAGAACGAGGGCCAAGGTGTTGACAGAGTCTGAGCACACAGTTGCCTTACTTGTAGTAGTGTGGGTGACATAAGAGGGGTTGAAGAGAGATCTAAGCAGCAGAGCTGAGAAGTGGGGCTGCAAGGGAATGCTGGACAAATCAGATCAGCCTGAAGTGTGGCTGGAGAGAGGGAACAACCAGGGAAGAATGCTGTTTCTCACTAATGCCCTTAATTTTCACAACATGCATTTGGTTCTAGCAGCAGGAACTCAGGACTGTGGATTTCTATCACTCCCTCGAACTGCTGCTTTGGCAAGCAACCAGAGAACATATTTGTGTCTGGTGAAACAAGCTTTTGCTGACACCCAGGACGATGAACTACTAGTTGAGTGTTGTCAGTAGTAATGTTACTTGCTTTATGTCCTAGTCATCTGCATGTTGAATACTCTTCTGAAGAGAGTAGGTGACAGATCAGTAATCTTAGTTTAGAAGAATGGTGATATTTTTTTGTGTGTGTCTCTATAATTTCAATCGTTGCTTACTCTCACCAGGGGGATTTGAAGACTTGAAGAGGGATTACAAGGATAAAATTGAGGAGATAGAAAATACTGCAAACAGGCTGAAAATGCAGTTGAAAGCTGCCCAAGCTGATCTGGAACGTATGAGGACTGCTCTGAAGACTATGGAGGGATCTGACTGCAATGGTAATTATGGGTTAAACATCCCCAAAATCACGCATTTGTCTTTTAGCAAGAGGATTTTTGTAACTGTTGATTCCTAAATAGATAATAGAATAATATGCCAGGTAGGATGTGAAATAATATTAGCGATTACAACGTTTTTATTGTATTTTTTATTTCATACTGTAAAACTTTAAACCATGAGGTGAGATTTCTTAGGTGATCTTTATGCATATTTTCAGGGAATGCTGTCTGCCTTGTGTGCGTGTGTGTGTGTGTGATGGGTCTGGTGTCACTACCTTGGAAAAAACTCCAGCTGATTTGAACGAGTATCTTGCTTATTCTTGCTTATTCTAACATACTGCTGATAATTGACTTCCAGAGTCTTTTGTCAAAACTCAGAATGCATCGTCATTGAGGTTCATTGAGAATTAACCTTGTCTTTTACAGCTGTGAAAGTTGCCGTGGGAATGCAGAAGCAGATCACAGCCAAGAGAGGACAGATAGATGCATTACAGAGCAAGATAAAATTCTTGGAAGAGGCAATGACAAGTGCAACTAAGGTCATAAGAGCTCCATATAAAAGTATTTAATCTCATTTAGAGAAATTTTTTCTTTGGAGAGATACATGACCAGAAGCAGAATTGGCCCAAGAAGGACCAAGAGAATTTTACTTTTATATAATGGGCACCTTCTCTGTCCTCCCACTAGCAAATCTTAAGGAATATCTGCACCATGTAAATTAGCCGTCTCTGTAGACACAGGTTTTAATTTATATTTGTTCTCCGTGAAAGAACCGGTACTAGTTGCAATGAAAATCAGGCTCTTGCATATCTTTTTTAAAATGTCAACTAATGCGTTCTGTATTCTTGTGAATTTGGCCCACAGTGCTTTTCCTCTTTGTTTTCTGAGGTGGTTATTAGCAGTTTTAGTTCTAAACTCTGCGTGTCAGGGTCTGTCTAGCATGTTGAGGTCTTCGTAGCATTTTCTGTGACAAAGAAATTATTTGGTTACCCATAGGTGGTTACTGAATGATCATTCATATCTGCTTACTATAACCTGTCCTGCTCCTTTACTGGCTTTGGATCCTGCGGATCCTGAAGCTTAGAATTCCAGATCTAAAATGGGAGGTATTATTCTCTCAAGACTACTCCAGTTGTAGTTTCTTCATAAGACCTATCTTGTCGCAAAACCTCTTCTTTCTGCAAGATGTGATAGCAAAGCTTCTGAAAGGCTCAATTCACACCTTTCAAAGAGTCAAAAAAGAATGGAGAAAACACATATGTTTAATGTTGGTAGTTAAAGTTTTTTTGACTCGCATTTTGTTCTCCTCATTTTAAATTCAGGAGAAGCATTACCTCAGAGAAGAAAATAGTAAACTAAGTCAAGCATTGAGCTGTATTATGGCAGAAAACACTAAGATTGTTGGGGAACTGGAGGTCCTGAGGTCACAAGAGAAACGTCTCAGAGAAAAAATATCTCAGATGGAGACAGCCCTTGATAAGGTAATTAAAGGTAGCTTTCGGGTCAGTGTGACTTCTGAGTGCTTTCCTCTGCAGTCACGCGGGAAGAGATACCTCGGTTGTATTTAAAACATCCTGTTCACAATTACTGCAAGATACTTACCCGAAGAGATACCTACAGTTCAGAGTGTCTTCTGGTGGGTTTTTTTAAGTGGTAAAATGCTTCTATTTTGACAAGGAGAGTTCTTGATTTACTTTTTGCTAGCTCAGGGAGATACAAACTGCAGGGAATTTAATGGAGATTGACCTTCCACTGGCTCTTGGCAGAGCTCCTTTCTCTGGTGAGAGTGACCGTTATTCAACATATCTGGAACCCAGTGTTGGCGCACACTGACCCAACACACTTGTCCCTGCTCAGCCCTTTCCGGGGCCTTGGCCAGCCAGCTGTGGCTCCCTCAGGGTGAGGGAAATGTAAGAACATGGTGGTGTTTCTTTTGCCCTTCTTTCATTGAGGGTTTTTGTTGCTGACATCCCTGACTCTTAAGGCTGGGTTCTACGTTTTGGGCTGACTAAATCCCAGGTGCCTGACAGGTAGGCTGCTGCTCTTCCAGGAGGAAGAGTCCTTTTCAGCTGCTCAGAATTCTGGTTTTTCAGGACATAGATTGCCATGTAAGGTAAATAGAATTACTTGTGATACCTCCTCCCAAGTGTGGCATTTCTTCTTTTAAATGCTCAACGCTGGAAGCTTTACTTTCTTCGTAGTATAAATCAGTCTGCACGGTGCCAGCAACTGACAGAGAAGCTGAGACACAGTGGAGGCAAGTGCTCACTGAAAACTAGCACATGCAGTACGCCAAGTAACAATTTTTATAAATTAGTAAAGGTTGTGCTGTGTCGTCTGACAGGATGAAAAAACATCCACAGTGCCTCAGGGAGCCTGCCTGTGCCTTGGTAGTGGTCATGAAGAAGCACAGAAAGAGAACCAAGTTTTATTTTAAAACTGCTACACTGATAAAAGCAATCCGGTTCAGTCTCCCTTGTTGTGCTTTTGCTTAGAGCTTACTCTCTTCTGGCTACACTGATAAGCCCGCAATGAAAAATACCTGTGTTAGTACATCTTCTCACATCTTTTCAGAGTGAACTTCTTAAAGGAGGAGTATGTAAGAACAAAGACATATCCTTTTTAAAACTTTGAGTATAGTTTTTGCCTCGTTAGCACAGTTGAATTTTCTAATCCTAGAGGTGTTCAGTAGGTCTAGGGCTGCCCCTGACAGGATTAGCTCCTTTCTGTGATTTCATGGTGTGCATAGCAGGGCTACTAGGATGCCTTTTGTAAGCCTATCGAGAAAGGCATCTGATGATATTGCAGTCTTTCTGTACCGATAGCAGGAGATAAATACAGTATCTCTATGTGTGCCTTGTTTCTTCATCAGAATGAAAGCAGGGAAGGCTGTAATCCACAGAGGGTTAGCGAAATTAATTAATACTTCTTCTATCCTCTCTTACAGGCATCCGTGCAATTTGCAGAATGCCAGTGCATAATCCAGTGCCAGGAACAAGAAGCTGTGCTCACCAGACTGCAGCATACTTTACATGTAAAAGTAAGTATGTTGCTGAGAAGCTAAGGCATCAAGTCAGATGCATTTACTTTGTGTCTTGACTGGAGGTTTAAGCCTATTTATTGCAAAGGACTCTAAAAAGTTTGCGATCTGTACAGTAAGGGCAACAAAAAAATTAGCAATACAGGACCATATTTCAGCTGTGAAGCCTTGATTGGAGTTACACTTGAACATTTTCTTGTGGCCCTAGGTAAATCAAAGCTAGAAATGTTCCTGGCATTATTATGAAAAATGAATTAGAGGGATAAGGTCTGTAGGTATGTCTTCTGCTAGTGTAACTGTTAGAGAGAGAAAACACTACCAAGCGTTTGGGCACCCATATCCTTCTTTAGGCCTGAAATAAAACCGGCAACCTTAAAGCTACATACAGGCTGGAAACAAGGGCTCCAAGATTAATTTGAGAATGCTAATTAGTTAGGCAGCACACAAAAAAATAATATCTTTTTTAAGAAGCAAAGGCAGATATTAGGAAAGGGAAAGGAAATGCAGTCATGAGGCATCTGGCACAGAAAAAGGAAGCCTGTATTTGATATCTGTCAAGCTACATAGCATTAGTGAAAGATAGAGCATAGGTAACAGGCACAAATGTAAGGCCAGTATTTCTGTAACAGTGCTCAGGATTTGTATTGCCCAGCAGATCTAGTTCAGTGTCTATATCTTTGCTACTGCGTTTATAGAGAATATTATTTACCTTTGACTGTTAAGGCTGCAATGAAACTATTGCTATAAATGAAAGGTAGGCTTGGAACAGTTTTGCATAAGAGATTATCATTAGTTCTGGCATCCCACCCCAGCTGTTAGTTTTGAGCATGAAACAAAATGTTATACTCAAAATACAACACTATATAAACAATACAAGAAGTGCTTCATATGAGCAATGGCAAAGGTGGGGAATCTCATACAAAAGAACATCTCACCCAAGAGGCGAAAAAAAAGTTAAAAAATCACAAAATCTGTGGGACAGCTTAATTTTTGGTGAACCTGAGGTGTCCTTTGCTTGCATCGTTCCAGAGCATATAGTAAAATTTCTAAGAAAAAATGAAATTGCCACTCTTGCACCCAGCTGAGTCACGAAAATGGTTGTGCCTGAGCACACCTAATAAATACTAGGAAGTGGTTTGTGAACCAAGTACTGGACTAAAGGTGATGCCCTGTTCCAGAGGGCGGGCTGTCCATACCCATTTATTCCGCTTAGCTTTACTTGCATTTTCTGCTTGGCTGCTGTTTTCCCGCAGGAGCTGCAGGGCCCAGGCTACTCCGCAGCCTGTGCTTCAGACAGGCTGCGGCACGTGGTGCCTCTTTCCCACCTGCGCGCTGCTGTTGTGTCACCTTCGCTGAATTTGGCCAGCCGCGCCCCTCCTGTGAGTACCTACCTCAAAATGGGTAACGGGCATGTTCCAAAGAGTAAAAACAACTTGGGATTTCTGAATGGGAAAGCATCTGGAGTGTCTCAGAGTGAATTCTTAACGCCAAAGATGAAATAATTTTCTTTAGCTTCACGCATGTTATGGCCTTTCCAGTTTTCTTATTTTCCATTTCCAAAATACATGTGAAAACAAACAACAATAAGAAATTCTATAGATTGTAATATGAGTTTATAACATTTATAAACTAATAAATTCGGAGTTACTCATCTCTAGGCAATTTGGCTTTTACTCTTGTTTTTGTGCACTGCTTTACTTGCTCTAAGTCATGTATATTTGGCAGTGGAAATAGACTTGCACGTAGTTCTTGATAAATTTCATTATCTATTTTGCCTGTAGTACCTTTTCATACTTAAACCCTTCTCCAAACTCGCCTTCATGGACCAGTTTTATCCTAAAAGACAAATTGTTGTCTTTCCTTCCTTTTTTTTGCCCATCTGTTTTTAGATTTAAGTTAGATGCTAGTGTTATTCTATTTTCTTCTCAGAAAATACCAACTCAAATCTGTTACGAAAAAAAAAATCTCTTTTGATATTTTCTTGATTTTGTATTATTTGCCAAAAGGGACCTGATGTATCTCCCACAGAAACTGGTCGAGGACTTTTCATTAATTTTGACTTCAAAATCTGTAGGAGACTCCAAGTTAGAGCAGATATTTTTCAGTCATTTTTACTGGTTTATTTTTTGATGTGGTGACAAGCATTTGCATTGAGGAACAAAGATTCTGGGAAAACCCTGCAGCATCAGACACTCCCATTCTCTTTCCTTTGAGTTAATCCATTTCTACTTCTGAGGATAGAGGAGGAAAAAGGACCCATTTTTAATGTAGTACCATGGTGAGGACCTAACAGGTTGTAGGATGACTTAGAAAAATCTTGTTCTTTTGAAAAAGAAAGGATTCTTTGAACCGGCCCTTTGCCTCAGGTCCCGATCAGTAAAATGAGAATAATATAGCACTTTGTCTTAGAAATACGGCTGTGACAATACAGTGGCTTATATTTGCACACAACTCAGCTTGTATAGGAATGAGTGCCTACGAACACCCTGATATACTTGTATTTCTGTCTTCAGAGCTGTGTTTGTGGGCTGTACAGTAATACTTGGAATCACAGCTCAAAAAGGAGAAAAGAGTTGTCACATAAGCAAAGGTTATTGGTTCTGAGTACTGAAAAAAGTCATGGTTGTATGGGGTGAGGGGAAAGCTTTCACAGTTCTAATGTTTTTTACCTTGAAATGTTAGTCGTAAAATTCTTACAGCGTGTTCAAAACACTTTTGTTAGCCGTGTTCTCAGTTGTATTTAGTTGCTTTACACTTTTCTGTCAGATAATTTTGCAGATAAGAGTGTAATCATATTCACAGTGGATTTTGACAGTCTTCAAGTTATCAAGATCTGGCCTAAAACACTTCATAAATAAAATTTTAAAAAGCTGTGCCCTGTTGCTAACTTATAAAATCATGAGGAGTCATGAGGAGGAAAAGGTGACTTCACTTGAGTGTAGGTAAGAATAAAGTGCCTTTATTTTGCCACTGAATGATTTTATTTCAGATGCCTTCCAAGCCAGGCATCTTGAAGGAAGAGCCATTGCAGGATGTAAAGAGCAGCCTTCAAGAATTAACAAGCCTAGATAGTGACATTCCCTCTGTGGATCTTGGCAAAGATGACAGCGATGGTGGGAGAAAATCACCTTTAGGAACCATGAGGAATAAAGCGTAAGAGTAACGCACTGTTATTTCTGTTGTGTGCTGTGTACTTGTATTGCCTGCTAAACCTGGGGTCTGGCCATTCATGTCGGAGCTGTATAGGATGTCTTTTTTCCATCTTTATGGCTATGAGGTATTCAGAATGTATCTAGTCCTTTTATTTCCCAGCAGTATCCATTACTTCAGTAGTCTAAATTCACTCCAGCTCTAATATTTTTAGTGAACTTTCACAACTATTTTACGATGCCTTTTCTTCACTATGAGAACATGTCTGCTGTGGCACTCAGCTCTAAAAAATAAGCTTAGCTTCTAAAAATGTGAAATATAGCAATCCTGCTGGCATGGCTTTTCTGTGATTTTGACAGCGATACATTTTTCCACGCAGGGAGACCGCAGCTAGAGCCTCTGCTACTGAAAGCATCATGGAAAAGGATACTTTTGGAGGGTAAGAAGTGCTTTCACTTAGCTGACTAACCTGCTTCTCAAAGTACTCTTTTGAGGTTCAGTTGCTTTTTAATACAGCATCAGTCCTGAGCTTGTTTGTATTGTTTTATTCATAATCCTGAAAGCTTCCTGGGAATTACAAAACAAAGCTGTGCTGTTACTTTCATCCCTCTAAGAAAGAGCTCTGGAACTTATTTACCTTGTTTGCTTTTAATTTACATGTATGAGATCTGGAGATTACACAGGAGAGCTACGCATTCTCCCTGTGGAGGCTACCTAGCATTACCAAAAATTAGGATAATACTTCCCAAGTGAAAGTTTTGCCGTCGTTTTGCTTGCAGGGATCCTTTGTGCTTACACACAGCAGAACTTCAATCCCAAGACGTTACCCTGCCCTTTGCATCCCTTGGTAAGTTTCCACTGGCTGCACTGGAGGATGAACGTGCCATACGGATGTCAAACTGGAAGATTAGCGAATATCACAAAAAACATAGTTCAAATACAATATATATTCTTAGTGGATTTGCTCAGATACCTGTTAGGTGCTATTACAAAGTCTCTATTGCACGTACTGCGAAATCTGTATCTTGTTGGAAAGGAGGGAAACGGGAGACCTGTGTGAAGAACCTCGGGTTTTCTGCTTCTTATACCTGGATGATGAGACCCAAGTCAGCACTAACATATGGGGACAGTCTTGAGTTGTTTGCTACTCCCATCAGGCTGTTGGGGAAGTAAACAGGAATGAGTAGCCAGCAGAAAAAAGCAGGCCCTACTTTATCCTAGGCAGGTTTACTGGTGTTCTTTCTCCTCACAACCACTGTAAGAGAAACAAGCATGTTTTGCAAAGTCTCCTGCTACCTTGGCTACTAATAAGAAATAAAAAGGCCGGAAGAGAGCAATGAAGGGAACCCAACCCTGTCACTGTTAGAGAGATAATGTCAAAGCTGATACGGGGGTGTCTCTTAAGGTGTGTGCTCACTGCTCTTTGTTGGATATCTCCTAGGAGGTACATCTGTCTCTTCAGCAGCTCCTCATCACACATCTTCCCCGAAGAAGGTCTCTCGGAAGGAGAGATACAGAGAAAGGTCTCCAGTACACTTGCTGTTAACTGCTCCACCTGATCACCTTGCAGCTGGCCCCATCGCCTCACCAGGGCACACGCAGGCTGTAGGGAAGGTTGGCTCTCCAGAGGGTGCAGCCACAGGCACCCCGATAAGTAAGTCTGGTCCCATTTACTGCTCCAAAGAGCCTGGCTGGATCTCTCTCCAGAGGGTAAACAAGTTACAAACTGGAGGTTAAATTGAGCCATTCAGCAATTTTGTAGAAATGTGGTTGTACTTTCCCTTAAACAGAAATACCACTGTTAATGAGCTTGTCTTCTTCCTCATTTTCTTTGCTACTGAAAGTTTTATAGTTTGAAATTTTGTTTTCTAAGAACTTTGCTTCAGATGGAGTGTTTAAATAATGTCGAATGGCCTTCTTTTCTTTTTTAAAACGTCTTGGATAACATATTGATGAATAATTTTCTCACCAGCTTGTCAGCCCATGAAAACTAGTGAAAATACACCTAGGAGGCTGCAGAACAAGATGGAAAGCCTGCAACACCTGGTGGAATCCTTACAGATCAAAAACCGAGGTGCCACAATTTACAAAAAATGTTCCTACTTTATTTTAAATACCTTCACTCTCCAGAAACTGTTCTTACTACCTGCCAGAGGACTACTTGTGGTTTTGCAAGAGGTCAGTTCAGATGTGCCTGTTTTACTATATTCTCCTCCTCCTAGAAGAGTAATTAGATTAACTCCGCGACACGCTGTTGCTCAGCCCCTTAACTTTAATAAGCTTCAAGATCTTTAACATTTCAAACATGGCAGCTGGTCAGGGGTGCCCTCGTGTGCTGTCACATCCAATTAAACGAAATTTATAGCAAGCTGATAACTTCCATGAAAACCAAAAGATACTCTTAACAGCAGTAAACTACAAAAACATAGTTTCTCAGCAGCAGCCTTGGAAGCACATCCTTTCCTTCTCAACCTTTTTTTATATCTGAGATAACCACCATGACCATGGAGAATTTGCCAGGTCCTCTTTTTGCTATCTTTGAAGTCACTGGTAAGGTGCTCCTGAACTCCTTTGATGGCAGGTTGCCAAGCCAGATGGAATTTTTTTTTCTCTGCACTTTTCCTCATTGCACATTCCCGTTGCTTCCCTTTTGCTCCTGTATGTTTTGCTGCATAGATTTAGGAAATTATTATTTCCCTGCATGGTGCAGTGCAGTCATGTCTGGCACACACAAGTCATCTGATTTACGTAACTAAAAAATCTAATTATTTCTATAAATAAAGCAAGTGTTCTCATTTTTATTTTCTGCCATCCATCAACATCCCGTAAGAGAAATTCTGAAATCAAAAAGATTTTTTTCATTTCTCCAACATTTGCTGCTTTGGCTTCAAAAAGCAGATGAGATGGTGCCTGTTAATAACTAGGTTGGTCTTCTCTGTTAAGGCCCTGCGTACGTTGAATCGCAAACCAAAGTTGCATTTGTAAAGGGCTTGGTAAGTACAATGTAATGGGTGAGGGGATATTAGAAAGCTTCAGGTGTCTGCACCTGAGGCCTCCATCATTTTAACGTAAGGTGCTCTTCAGATAATCTGTTCTTGCTGCTATTTTCAGCCATGACATCAACGATCAGAACGCGGGAAATGAAGAAAGAGAAAGCAAAGGAAAAGGAGAAAAAGCAATTGAACTGCAGACACCGTGTATGTTAGTGATTGCTTCCACGTATGTACATTGTGTTTAAAATACGCTATATTTTAAAAGCTAAATAATAAAAGTTCTTACAGTTTTATAAGTCTTGCCTGGAACTGCGACACTTTACTGTTTTTACTTTTAAATGGGTGGGAAGTACAGAGGAAAATACATCTAAATACAGACTAAATACATCTAAATACAGACTCTTACAGACATTTTGGGTAGCTGTGTGCTGTGAGGTACAGTGGCCCCAGGGCACTGCTGACTGCTTCAAGTTTCAGTTTTTCTTCCATGGTTTCTTGATCTTGCACACCATTTCAGGTTGTGCTTTTTAGAAAGTTACTTTTGAAATGGTTTGGTATTTTTTTCATTCTAAAATAAATTGGTTTCCACTTCCTCTATCCTTCATGTTAATAATTTAATAAATTTTGATTCATCTGGATATCCCAGAACTGGCAGGTATTTCCAATTGAGGCAGGAAGCTGCCCTTGGCTCCTGTTCCTGTTGAGACGAAGTATTTAAGCACGTACCTACAGCAGCAAGACTGCACAGATTTAATCCTATATAACTATTCCTTTAAGGGACTCACCAAGTAGTATTTTTCATGTCGTTTTCACTGCTGCTTGGGATTTTTGGCTTGATTCGTACTGCAGATGGAGAGTGCACAGTCTGCCTTGGAGTTAGCTTTATAAGCATGGCACTTGTATTTTGAATTACAGCTGAGGGTGAATATGTTCCTAGTTTGGGGCTTTTAATCCTCCTTCAATCCATGTCCCTCTATTAAAACTAAGTGAGATTTGTGCAGAAAAAAATGCATTCTTAATCTATACTGATTTCTTTTCCTTGTAACTCTATAGTATGACTTTAATACCAGATTCTACCACCTGTACTAACAAGTTTGCTCCCATAGCCGGGCTTATTCCTTACACTTGGTCTCCAAAACGCAGTTCAGTTGAGTCATCAATACAGGCAACCTTCCCTTAGTATGGGGTGCCTAAGGAGAATGTTTTCAAATGTAAAATTTAGTAATAAACAGGAAGGCAACTTGAGCACAGCTGGCATACATTAATAGATTTTGAAACCCGCTCTGTCTTCTGCCGTTTGGAGGTTTTGCTCCAGTGCCAAATGACAGACTACAGTTAAGGAATTACAACAGGATCCAATGCTAAGAAACATTTCCCAAGTAATAAAATAAGCAGGACCATTAAACTATTAGATTGATGTTTAAAGCATGATTAGTGTTTGGCAGCATCTCAAGGAACAAGATGTTGAAAAAAAGGACAGGGGAGGAAGAACTCTTTACACAGCCCAAACTGAGTAGTTTTCCAGAATTTGCCCTTTGATTGTTGTCTGGGGATTACTCAAGAAGAGCAGATTAAGAGGCCGGCTGAGAAGTTGGTCGTGGAAGCTGCTGGCTCGGTAGCAGGAAAGTCTTTGTGGTAAACAGTACTAATGAAACAAGGGCCACGATGTCTCTCTGTAATAACTCAGTACCCAAGCACAGAAAACTGAACTGTCCCCGGGGTCAGCAGAAGGTGCTGGTGGGGCAGCTTCAGTAGCAGTAGTGTTTTAATTCGTTATCTGCTTTCTAAAAACTGGTTCCTGCTTTGGATTAGTCGCAGTGTGGAATGTCGTGCTTGAATTCAAGGGGCTTACTCTCTGATTTTGTCCAAACCAAATGATTTGTAACTATGGCTCAGCAAAAGTAGCTTCATGAGCACAAGCTATGCAGATACAAGCTCCGTTTTGTTGACTCTAGAGTTACAGAATTATATTGAGAATATATCAAATACCTTGAGGGTTTGAGATTTTTTTAGTTTGAGGTCTTCTGTTGTGGGAAGAGATTAGGGAATTGCTCCTAAGCTGTCTTCAGTTACTCTCGACAGTATTTTGATTTAGTTCAGGTCCTTTTCTGCATTTCCTAATTACTTTTTTCTATGGATTCTGTTACTTTTTGCAACACTGGTAAGGTTAATAGAGGCACCTCCTAGGGATTGGTTGCATTGCATGTGAAGGGATCCTTTTAGATGTATCCCAGTGTGGACTTGTTAGACATATTTCACAGATCTACGGGATATTTTGTAGCAAAGGGTGAGGTGTAGAGGGTGACAGCGCGTATTCACCCTATAGCACAGTGGTGGGAAAAGGTCAGGGGAAAGCGCAGTCTCTGTTGTGTTCGAGGAGCCAAGCTAAAAAGAGTTTGAAACGACTGCAGCCCTGTGCAAACAGAAAGGAGCAGGTGGAGAGGTACAAATAGCCAGAGAGAAGGGAGATGTGCCAAGCAGAAAGAAGCTTCACATCCCCGTGCTGGAATCCAGCAGAGCTGGGAACAGGTCTGGGCTTCCTCCCTGCCACCAACCAGCGGGAGACAAAGAATTGGCCTGAGGAGGCAAAAGGGTCATAGACTCACAGGCTCTGGAGCAGCTATAAATACCCTGAGCTTTGCAGCGTGAATACCACGTCGTTGTTCTGTGTCATACAGGTGGATGACGGGAGGACTGTTGGGCAGATCTCGACAGCAGCAGGACGCCCCAGATGGCAACAAAATCCCTAGAGAGAAAAGGCTAATACCGGTCTAATATTTTTTTTAATGGATCATGTGGAGAGACTCCGAACAGTAAGTTGAATTGCCAGAGAGAACGCGGGCTGGGCATGGTTTTTGCAAAGGCAGCTGCAACACGAATTGGGAGCAAACAATTTGCAATTCCAAGTTCCTGTATGTGACTTGAAACTGGTTTATGCCCAGCACATACTCCAGCCTCAGGCTGTCTGCTCAGTTTACCATCCAAATGCAGTGTTTGACACTCAACTACTTCACCAACAGGAGTAGATTGTGTTTAGCCTAGAAATAATCAAATTGTCTAGTTGGTCAGAAGTTTGTTGCCAGCAGTACATGGAGGTAAACTTAACAGGTATATCTTTGGTTGCAGTCTTTCTGGCTTCCCCAGGCTGTGAGTGAGACAGTTTTATTATTTGCTTTTAGATATGCTGAGCTGCTGCCGGGCTGTTACATCCACATAGGAACATCAACAAGAACTTGTTTCTCACCAGTAGCTTCACTCGGCTCACAGCCAGGACATTGTATTAGACAGGAATCTGTCCATTCTAACATAATCATTTCTCTGCAGCAAGAGAGATGTGTTTAAATCTACCTTCACGCTTCCAGCGAATAGATTGCTCATTACTGAACAATCACCTCTGTAAACTTGAAAACACTAATCATCTTCTCTAATAATATTAAAATCAAGCATTTGTCCTTTCACCATACAAATAACATTTAATTTACATAGCATAGGCCCTGCTGAGCAAGCAGTGGTGTGAATGGCATAATAATGTAGAGGTTATAGCAAAAGCGCAGCGCAGGCAATTCTAGCAACCTTGTTTGATCATTCTGCAAGGTGATGCAATCATGAGCGCTATACACTCCATCTGTGGGATTCAAGTGCAGGGTGTCTGTTTTAAACATGTTAGTCACTGCGTTAGAGGATCTATTCTAGTGTAGTTTAAGTGCCTTCTCGTGAATATCTTGATCTAATACCACAGTTAATCTTCTCAGACAGGCCTCCAATGTATGTATAAATACACTCAAACGGCAGCTGCTGCTGGACAAGTGCTTTTTAAGTTGACAGTATCTTGGTTTTGAAGAGGTCACATTAATGAGAAAAAGAATTGTAAACAGCTTGAAATAGTTATGCTTTGGCTTAGGTGATTTCTGAAGATGGACAAAAAGCTTACAGTCAGTATTGTGTTCAGCTGCCACCCATGTTTCCTACCTTGCTCTCTTCTAAAAGAGGTCTCCTGAAGGAAATAAACTATATTAATCTAAATCTCCAGGTTGCTCCAAACAGCCCAGAGCAGAGCTCCTATCTGTAGAAGTTACGGACCCCCAGAACAAGTTGCTCTGTCATGTAGCAGGAGCTGGGAGGGGCATGTTTTCCAGGAGACCACAAAAACTAACTTGACCATGTGCTTGTTCATTTGCCTTAGTCTGTCTCCTTCTTCATCCTTCCCTCAAATCCCCCCCCAGATTTTCTTGAGCTATTTTGTGGCTTGCCTGCACAAGCAGGTAGCCCAGCCCACTTTCAGCAGGTACGTTTCCACAGATAGCTGGTACCGAAGTCACAGCAACAGTATTTCAGACGCTTGTTCTTCACAATAACTCTAGTATTGCCCCACCAACTCGATGTCCATTCACCACGAGATGCTGAAGATAAGCCTGAGACTCACCTTCCTGTTTTACATATTCAGAGTGCTCCACCACGCAAAGCAGGAAAGACTTAGCAGAGGCAATTAGATCAGCAATGAGCTTTTGAAGTAAATATTACAAACCTGAGTGTTACAAGACTAAATTCACCCTGGGGAACTGATATTTGCAAGCTCAAGCTAGGTTCCTCATTATGCAAAGACAGGCTTTCCCAAGTGGCATCATCTATTTGTAACCAAAACCACAAAAGGCAGACAGGCAGAGCACCTTTTCGCTTCTCTCCTATAAGAAATATCAACTAGTTGAAGCGGCAAGTCTTCTGCTTCAACTGACTTAGTAAAAGGCCACAACTTAAATGTGTTGAACAAGCCCAGTCTTGGGGAGAGGGAAAGGTTTAACCTAAGGAATTGCTGACATGACTATGGTATCGTTCCTAGGTAGGTCATACATCCCACCCCACTCTTACTTCAGAAGAAATCCTATTCCCTAGCCATCACAGCAGTTCAGCCGTTTGTCTAAAGCCTGCTCCCACCCAGGTAATTCATTAAGCCCAGACAGTCCTCTCTGACCTTTGCTCTGCTCTCAGCAGGATGATCTGACTAAAAAGGACCCATCTGCCAAGCTTTACCTTGAGCTCAGGGGCTTGCAGGAGAGTAGGGAGGACAGAATGAAGTACTTTGGGGTTAAACTCGGAAGTGCCCAGCCGCTTTCCAGAATTCTTTAGCACTAAGATCACTTCTAACAAAGTGAAAGTGAGTCAGTTCACCGGTCAAGTTGTAACAGGCTGTCGGTCTGAAAATGTTTATTGTTTACTTAATACATTGCATAAGTTAAAACACTTAAGTTGCTATTACAGTGTAGGTTACCACACTTCCTAACGTGCTTCCAAAACCCCAAGCAGTTGGTACAAAGATGCATCCCATAGCCCCGCTCAAAGCAACACCAACTCAAGTCCAGGGTCCAGATGAACCTGGCCTGGCAGCTGCTTGGAATGCTGCTCGTGACTTCAGAGCCTACCTTGCACATCTTCAAAGTTTTTCAGGGTGCCAAATGATTTCCTAAAGTGGATGGCCGACATCGGCTGCTCATGCAGTTTCCCCAGGCTTGGTAAAGGAATTTAAAGAGCTCTGTACTTGGGAAGGTCTCCTATTGAAAAAGGGGTGAAGTTTAGGGGCTTTGTGATTCATCTAAGCAGGCTGGCCGTTGGATAAGCAGCTTCCAAAGACCTGTTAATGGTACCCCCACCACCGATGAACAATCCGATCTTCGTGTTCCGTCACCAGGGTCCTGTTACTGCATTCTTCCCAGCGTCTGACCTTCCCGTTCTCCACCAAGATAAATTTCCACTCCACTTTGGTGTCTGCTGGCAAACTAATGCATTCAGACCAGAAGCCGTCCTTGTCGTGCTTGAGAGGAACGTAGCTGTGCCACTGGCCCAGACACTCGTGGTCGCCGGTAACGCCAAGCAGCTGAGCGTCAGAGTGCGTGACGTAGTGCACACGGAAAGTCACGTGGATATTTTGAAACATGGGGGGCACAGCCACAACTCTCTTGGCTTTCAAGTCCCCGTCAGGGCAGTCTCCTTGTTCCCATTCCCTGCTGTCAGAGTCTTCCACTCCGCCATCCTTACCAGCCTCCCCCCAGGCCAGGGGCTCGGAAACAACTGCCCATTCCTCATGGTCCAAGTCCTTGCTCTCCGCTGCCTGACCCAGCTGCTCCTCGCTTCTCTCCTTACGCACGTCGTCGTCGGAGGCTCCTGCCAAGTTCATCACGCACCACCCATCGCTTGCCTGTCCCACCGGGGCTGTCGGCTCTCCACACGCACCGGCCGGATGCTCCCTGGAGTCGGTGGCCCCTTGCTTCGGGGGCAGCTGCTCCGCCCGCGGAGGTC